TTTAATCACAAAACTTCAAGTGAGTAAATGATACTTAGCAATATGGACTTTAAAATCTCTTATTAAATTGAAAGTTTAAAAAATGATTTAAGGGGCTAGAGCAGTAACACAGTGGGTAGGGCGTTTGTCTTATACACGGCCGACCCGGGTTCGATTCCCAGCATCCCATATGGTCCCTGAGCACCGCCAGGAGTAATTCCTGAGTGCAGAGCCAGGAGTAACCCCTGAGCATTACTAGGTGTGACCCCAAAATAAAAAAAAAATGATTTTAATTATGGTGTCAACTCCATGCTTAAATTGCTTAATCACCAAATACACTACTTATTGATATGTTTTAAAGGAATATAATATCCCCAAATATCTGAAAGATGACTCTTGCAACTTGCAAAAAGAAGCCAAAGATTACTATGCAATCTTTATTTTCAAAAGAATTTGCATTAGCAATATTTAATTTAATCAGCAAAATTCATGATAAATAATCTTGAGTGATTAAAACAAATGACTGTACCTTAAACAAAAGGAATAGATTTGAGTTTTTCTTTGAAGCTCTTAGACAGTAAAACATATCTTTGATTATGCTATATAGAATTTTCACACAACCCACGATTTCTTAAGCATCAGTGGTTTGTCAAAATGTACTTTTGTTTTTAATAGTTGATGGCATGAACCCTTACTAGATATTTAATGCAATCATTTAAATGTAGTCTCATATTTATTTTAAAGTTTTTCTCTTATATTTATTTTTTGCTTTTGGGGTCACATCTGGAGATGCACAGGGATTAGTCCTGGTTCATGCACTCAGAAATCACTCCTGGCAGTGCTCAGGGGACCATATGGGATGCTGAGAATCGAACCCGGGTCAGCCACATGCAAGGCAAACGCCCTACCCACTGTACTATCACTCCAGCCCCTGTTTTTCTCTTTTAAAAGATTATAAACAGCACATGTTAAAATGTATGGTAAAGAGATTTTCCTTATAAATGTGCTGTTTGTAAAAGTTCAATTTTGATAATAAACTAATCTATGTAGCATTAACTATATGCCTGGCAGTGTTCTGTTTACATATATGAAGGCATTTATCTTTTAATAATACAAGATACATTCATGAGAAAATTAATCACTGTATCACTGTATCACTAAAAATTTGCCCAAAGTCAAAATAGAATTCTGTCACAGAATAGAGGTCTGATACCAGCTTCCCTTGTTTTAGAGTCCATGTTTACTGCATATTTTTCAATTTATGCAACACATTAATTTGATCTAAGTTTTCTCAGCTTTTAGAAAATAACTAACTTGCTGCTGGCTAAAATATGAAGAAAGCAAAATGTTCATTATTTTTATTTAAATCACTTTTTAAAAAATAATATTGGGGGCCACACCCCATGGTACTAAATGCTCACACCTGGCTTTGAATTGAGGGACCACCATGGTGTAGCCCAGGAGAAATACGGGGTGCTGGAGCTTAAAACTGATAAACTACGTATAAGGCAAGTGTCCAATCTGCTATACCAGCTGCTATACTAAATCACTTTTGAACAATTTTAAGAAGTATTTTTTCCTCTGTACTTAAGATCAGCTGTAATTTATTTGTCCATAGACCAAGGTGTCCTTTGGATATTGCAAATTCAATATAAAAAGTAAAGACAACATACTCAGAGGTGTCACTCTGCTAGCCTAGGTGCTTAATTTATAAAGCTACTCTCTGGACATATTTAGCATATGTATTTCGCAATTATCTTTTAGAATAAATGTTCAGATCATGCTGGAGCGCTTCCCATCACAATGCAAATCAAACTGACCCCTACTACTTTTAAAACATAAAGGAACAGAATGAAGCAGTTTGAGCAGAGGAAGCTACCACCAGTAGAGAAAACCATGCACATCCTGGAGAGCAAGTTATTTACCATTCAAATGCAAACCATAGTTTGCCTATAGCATCTCTTCCTTTTGAGGAAACCCCTAATCTTTTGTTCATTTGTTTAGTCTTTCCTTAAATTATGCCAAATGCCTTCTGTGGAGCTTCACTGAGAAGAAACATAAGTTTGGGAAATTTATTTCAAGGTGCAACTGCAATAGTAACACTGGCCAGAGACGATGGAAACTCGCCACACAGCAGCAGAAGTAGGTAGAGCTGTGGACAAACAGGTTCCAGTGTAAGTTCCACTATTCAATATCAGTGACTTTAACTCATGATTACTGACAGTGAATAATTACTAGATGCTACTTTCCTCATCTTCGAATAAAATGGGTAATATTTTAAGGCTTGTAAATAACTAGATGATGATTTAAAGGGCCTTTATAGATGCTCAAGGGTCAATTATTGCTTAAACTAATTATGACAGTTGTGTATCAGTAAAATAACAATATATTAACTACAATAAAAAAGGAGAGAATAAATGTATTAAAGAAAATAACTATAATCAGTTTACAAAAGATATTAATGAAGTAGTTTCCTCCAGGATCACGGAGGGAAATAGAAGGCAACTAAAAGCAAAACAAAAAAAAACAAACAAAAAAAACACCACCCAGAAAAAAGAACATTATAAATGATGCCTGAGACATTTAGGACATTTGGAGCATTATGCAGAAGGCTCTGAACTGAGGTCTAATGTAAGAGAAGTGAGGAGAAATGCAGACCGCATGCCCATAGGAGGCCCCAGAGCTCACAGGAGAAGAGACATCGGCAGACGGATTCCAGTCAGTCATAGAACAATTCTGCAGGTTACATTTTGCCCAATAAAAGGGAAATAACCATTTGCTGCTTTTGTATTTCCATCAACTATCACAAAATTTTGAACAGCAATACAGTGCAAAATAATTCAAATTATATTCTAACACCCAGAGTATTCTATGGCAATGTCCTTATGAAAAAAGGCAAACTGTGGAGTAATTGTAACTTCTACATTCAGCTCATCTTCTTTATATCCAAAAATATAAATAAACCCACTTTATTAATGTTGAAAAAAGTGCAGAAAACAAAAATAAATTATATATTGTTTAAATTAAGACACTAATTTACAAAGTTGGTCATAATAAGAGTTGTTTCAGGAATAAGATTGTTCCAGTCAGTACCATCCCCACACAATGTCCCCTTCCCTTTAAAACTGTAGGAATCATGGTAATTTGTAAAGTCCAAAACAAACCAAAAGACCCATTTTATACATTATAAAGAAGTAAATCATATTTTCTTTAAAAACTTTTTCTCTTGAGACAAAGTAAAAAACGTATTCAAATGCATCCAGTCTGCTTTACACAGTAAGCTTTTTTGTTTAGACTAAGTCAAAAGAAATGTAAAGGTATACAGAATGAAAATACTGCTTCCCAGTACCAGAAAAAACTAGCAGTCAAGGAGGAAAAAAATCTCAAAAATACAAAAAGATTAATATAAATTAAATAAATCTTCACTATATTTTTATTTATTTATTTATTTAAAATAATTAAATTATATCTTTCTCCATAGATCTTGGAAATATGTTTTCAAGACTCTTTGACTCTTTTTGACTTTAGTCAATGAGATATTTTACCCTAACTGCTCAATTCAGGTCAAAGCAGGGGAAAATTAAGCAAAAGTGAAACATTTTTATACTTTCAGTAGAACTTAGTAAGTTAAGTCACATAAGAAAACATTTCTCCATCTTAGTCCTTGTATCAAATCTAAAGTCCTTTACAAATTTTAAAAGGAAATTAAAAGATAGAGCCTATAAAGATTAAACACGTGTTTAAATGTGGCAAAATTTAAGCAGTGATACTTTAATTTTTTCTCCTGCTATAAACCTGAACTTATCCACCCCTCCCCTTTTAAAAAAAATCTGCCAGATTAACTTCAAAATTAATTTTAATGCTTTAATCAATGTCCAACAATTTAGATATGAATATGTCCTATCCTATTACAGACTTTAAACATTAAAGCCCAATATAAATGTCAATAATTTCTGAGGTTCTTATGATATATGCATCTATATGTATTATGGATTTAGTATGTAAACTAGACACATGTACATATGCAAAGCCAGCAGTTGACCTGCCTATACATTTAAGGTTCCTGCCAATAATTCAGCTCCTCAGAGGTGTAACCGCCCCTGGGTGGAAACTGCTAATAGGAAAGTCAATCTCAAACTCATTCACGTTCATTTAGTGCCATATAGTTTGTGGTAAGGTTTACATGCCAATCCTGAAAAGTAGACAGAGAAGGCACAAGTGTTTTCACTTTACAAATGAGATGCTAAAAATCTACAGAGACAAAGGAAGTAGGTCATGGTTCGCAGCTTAATAATAGTGTAATTGCTATTAGATGGCAGGCCTTATTACTAGCTCAATATTTTTATTGATTACAAGTTATTTATCTGTGGTCACAGAAGGGCAATATAATTTCCATAAAATCAGACTACATAATAACATATGACATTTTTAATGTCATATAAAATATGACCATTTTTGGACTAACAATGTTGCTATATATGCATATATATATATAAAACAATAGTTTTAGGGTATGAAAACAAAAGAAATGTCAAATAAACTAGGATATGCTAAAGAAACATTTTTATAAGTGTTTGAATTAAAAAGACTAAATTTCCAAATGTTGAAATATTTTCAAGTTCTAATAAATTTTACACATTAATTTTGTCTTGTCATTTCTAAAGTCACTAATATAGTAAATACAATTGGTTAATTTCTCAATGACTTTAATAAAATTTACGTAGGTTTTTAAAATGTACTTACATGAATAAGTAATCAATTGAGATATATTTGCATTTTATAACAATAAATAAGGTGATATTCATTGCAATATGTAAAACATTAACTGAAGGTCACAGAAAGAAAAGTCAAGAAATGAGAGACGGAACATAATATTCTAAATCAATTGTATTACTTTAGATTCTGAAAGACTTTTATGGTACATTTTTAAGAGCGTGACATTAAAATATTTCTTTTTTTCTAACCAATTTCAAATAACCATACAAAAACAAATGAAAGAAGTGAGGAAATGAAATGCTTACAGGTTTGTATCTCAGTGCATCTCTGTAGGATCCAAACAAAGCAGCCTGTGCCCTAAGAAAGGCCCTAGCTACTCCATCCCCCGTAGCTGTAGACTGCTTCTTCAGTTTATTTTTCAGGGCCGAGACCTGTATGACAGAGAGGAACAGTTAAATTAACACCTCAGAAATTGGTACAGCGAGGTACGAACCCAATCAGCAGGCAAACCACAGTGTCTGCAGGTCAGCCAAAAACTCATCCTCCTCCCTGATAGCTTATCTTTTTAACTGCGGGGAGCACCTGCTGGTCTGTTAATTGAAACGAAAACAGGAGCCCATAGTAACGTGCTAATGCAAATTGGTTTATGCTCTCTTTTTTCCCAGGGCCTCTTGACATAAATAAGCTTTAATTATTTTACAGTAAACTGCTTGTGAGCCACTTTTCTGCAGATTTTTAGCAATTACATGTGTCTACTTGTTTTGCGAGGAAGCCGGTTGGGTCTCCTTCATTTCTGCTATGTAAGGTTATTTGTTATAAGTCCTACAGGGTAACTTTCCGTTTAATTTTATTTTTGAATACATCATTTGCATATGTAATTTTACAGTCAATTGTTAAATTGTTTTTCACCATAATTAGATAAAAGAGAAGAGAGAAGTCACTGAGAAGTACCATGAGAGGAAGAATTATTTAGGTAAAACTTAAACACTGTTTCATTTAATCCACAAATCTTTTATTAAAGTCATTCATAGTACCACTTTTGAATGAAGAAATAGGGGTTGAAAGATATCAATAAATTTGCCTCCTCAATTTAAGTAATAAAGAACAAAATTGTGATTTAAATCCAGTTCTGCCTTGTGTTTTCCACCACTGTCAACTGGATGTGAGTTATCAAAGAATTAAATGTTTAAAAACATTTGAAAAAAGTTTAGGATTTGCAAAATTTTACATATCACTTCACACATTTTTTAAATTCAAGTTCAGGTTAGTTCTGAGAATTCATGTTACTTATGAATATCATTATTAGAGTAATATTTATTTTTGAGTGAGATGATACAAATGATAAGTTCTTATTTCTTAAAGAAGTAACAGGATATGCTCCTATTCACTGAATCGACATGACCAATTCTTATCATACATAACTGAAAGGTACACTACTTATTTAAAAATACTAATTAGCATATATGTTCATCACTAATTCCAATGGAAACATGAATCATGTAAAAATTGTTTGCCTGAGAAAGAACTCTGGTTGGATTACTCACCTAACAATATGCTCTTATTCTTAAGAAACTTCCAGATAACAGAATAATGTCATTGATCCATTTCATATATATATATATATATATGCAAGAGGGATATTTTTTATTTCTTTATGCCACCAGTCCTGACTACTCTTGTAGATGATGATTGTATTTGAAGTGTCAACCTAATTAACAACTAAACTTTGAATAATGCTAATGAGAAATGAACACAGCATCAGAGGAAGGACCAGCTCTACAGGTGATAAACCTTCACAGAAGTGACATTTTCCAGTGTAAAGTCACAGTTACTGTGATCTGATCAAAGAAAGAGACCCCCATTGGGTCCAATTATAACCATAGTTTTGAAAAAATTATTGAGTTATGATGTTCATAATCTATGCAGAAAGGCTGGAGCAGTGTAGGTCTTCTCCCCATAGCTGTGATCTTTTCCATTTATATCCGAACTCCATAGATTTAGATGAAAGCTTGAAGCCTAATTCATTTAGCCCACAAAGTGCATAAACCAGGATTCCTTTAAGAGGAAGTTCTTATTAAAATCTAACCTAAATAAATGTACATTTTTAGGCAATTCACATATTCAACAATAAATAAGTTGAAAGATAGAAAATTTAATATTCTGACTTGTGTAATAATTTTGGCTTTTTTTCAAGGCTCAAATTTCTTTAAAGGAAAAAACAATGGAAAGAAATATTAATGTCCTTAATCACCATAGAAGAATAAAATGATTACAGTAGAAGAAATAAGATACCAGTCTTTCATATTAACTAACCCCTCTAGATACTATAGTAGAAAAAGTAATTAGCTGGTTTCTTTTCGAGTTTTTACTTTAAAACAAGAAAGACATTTTAAGATCTTGTGTCATCTATCATTGCAAAAGAAAATCCATCTAAATGTATTTTTCTACAAAGCATGAAACTGATGATTCAGTCCTCCACAAATCAAGCATTCTCAGACATCATAACACAGATGGTCAGAGAGAGTGGAAGTTAGTTTCACCATTCTGTAGCCTTTATTACCTCAAGTCCTTGATTGATTAATTGTTGTGGAAGTTATCCAGGATATTAATCACATTTCCCTAAGTCCTTCCTAATAAAATCATAAAGATGTGGCCTCCACTCCCCAAATTAGTCAATGATATTTCCTGAGCTCCTTCAGGAGCTGTGAAGACAATAAGGGAGAAAAAAACTAAACACTCATTTAAAATCTGTGCTGTTCAGTAGTTACCAAACACACATATACTTTGAATGTGGCTAGCTACTAATGAGATTTGCTGGATGTGGAAAAAATATAAAAATGATTTTGAGGACTTCAGACTCCTGAAGATAGAAAATATTTCAATAACACACAGATTACATAATAAAATAATATTTTAAATAAATCATTAAAGTTAACTTCATCTGTTTCTTTTTACTTTTTACACATGGGTACTAATAAGTTTTTTAGTTGTATGTGTGGCTCATACTACATTCCTATGGACAGTGTTATTACACATGAATATAGTACTATATATACTATGTACTCTAATTTAATGTGCACATAAATATGAGTATAAAATGTCTATCAAGAAATACAACTATATTCTTTGCCTATCTCTCCATTGTCTCATCCTCTACCAACTGCATGAGTTTTCTTTCTCTGACCTAATCCTGGTGGGTTTCAAGTCTCAGTAGATCTAAGGCTATTCCCCAGGAACAGGGAAGTACTCTAGTATGCACAAACAAATGCTTAGAAAGAACCTGTTAAAATAAAAGTATTTTAATCGTTTCAGATATAAGATTATTCTAATATACAACGATTGTGTCAACCTTGCAGTCTTTCTGTCCTTTAGATCTCTGGAGTAAATTATCACTAGTTACCAATGCCCTTGCTAGTGCTAATTAGCTTTTAGCAGTTTTTAGCTAAAAAAACAAAACAAAACAAAACAAAAAAAAACCAAAAAACACTGATGTCTCTGGGGAATAGCATTTTTTTTATTTAACTTCCAAACTTCTAAGTTTAGTTGTGAAATAAATGAACATCTGTCTATAGAATCTAAAGTTTATACTCCTATGTAAGCCTGAATTCAGAAGAATATTTAAACCTTAGTCAAAGGGCTAGTTATCACACAACGATATTAGTGTGACTGAAAAAGTATCACTTTCTTTTTACTCCTTTATTCTTTCCTCTTTCTCTTTTTACTTTTAACGGCAAAAGTAAATTACTTTCAGTCTCCAAAGACCATGATTTTGTGAGAATTTCAGTCTAAAAATAATTTTTATCTAATTCTGTATTATAGTAGACTCCCCAAAAGATAAAACAGGGGAAAAGAAATTCAGAAACAATGATCATTTCATTGCACAGATCTAATGTCTAAGAAAAATTCATATAAAAAATTCAGACTTTCCAAGCAGACATTCAGAGCAAAAATTATAATCTGGGTTTCATTGCAGAGGCAGTTCTGTACAACATGAATAATATTACTACCATTTTCTGCTTTAACCCTCTTAACACTCACATTGCTAAAAATGAAAGGAGGAAATTACATGAGTAAACATAGAAAACAGGTATAAATTTAAAAAGTGCAAGCCACAAGCACACTATCTGAGTAATGAAGTAACTGTGCAACCGAGAGTTAGCTAAAGAGAACATATAAAGGAGCTGAGTTTTCAGAGAAAGAAATGATTTCTTTCCCACTAGAATTTTATATGCAATTATCACAGAAAAATAATATATTGGCTACTGCGGCCAGAAATTTAATTCTTTAGGATCACAAAGAAAACAGCAGGGTGAAAAACAGAAAATGAAAATAAATATCCATAAATAATAGATATCCTACATCAGAGCCAGACTGTTGCAATCGTTGGCCAACACAATTTCAAACACCTCCATGATGGGCAGAGACAATAATAAAGTAGGTATGGTGTTTGACTTGTATGCAGCCATCCTGGGTTTGATCCCCAGGATCATGCATGCTCCCCTAAGCAATGCCTGGAGTGACCTCTGAGCCAGGAGAAGTCCAGAGCAGTGTTGGGTGTAGCCCCCGAACCAAAAGAAAACAGAAAAATAACAAAACATCTTCACAATGAATGTTTTTTTTCCCTAGCAGGCAGGCATTGGAGATTTGTGCACAGGCTGCTTAAGGCTCAGGGGCCCCTGTGGGCCTCCCCCACAAATACTCAGCCAACTAGACTAGACAGCACAGTGCAAGACTCTTCCATGCTGGGGATCACCAGGAACATTTGGCAGGGCGGGGGACAAGCAGTGCTAGATATTCAGGGTACAGGGGACTAAACCTGTACTCCTAAAGCTGGGCCATATCCCCAGATTCTCTATGATGTTTAGAAATTTTCCTTTATGTAACTAAACTTAAAACAACACACACTTGGAAAAGTTAATACCTTAATGTCTGCTCTTGCAAATATTACATTGAAATCTTTTATTCTCTCATGAAACATGTTATCATATGAACCACCTATTTTATAACCTTATGTTTCTTCAACAAGTATAATGTTCTGGCTTTCATTAAAGAAAAATCAACCCTTTCTTCTAATTTTCTAAGTGGCTTCTAAAGACTAGGAGAGTTGCTATTAATACTTATTAAATGAAAAGCATATGATACACTCTGAGATATCAATAAAGGATTTATATGGAGATATAAATTAGCTATCAAACCTAATTAAAAATGGCATCCCATACAACTTGAGTGTTTAGTTGGTTTTTTGTTGTTGTTTTTTTTCTTGTTTGTTTGTTCTGATAGAGGCATCTTAAAATCAAGACAACCAAAATTGTTTCCATCCCTACCACCAGTACTCTGTTGCATCAGTGTCTCTGATCCATTCTCACCTCAGTTCCAAGCTGCCCCTGAACAGTTCTGAAAGTGTTCTCCAACGCTTTATCCTTCTTCAGCT